CCTTGTTTTAGACAGAAGACTCCTACATCTGGGGGATTTAATGCACCCACTGTCCGCTCGGTGCATTTCCTGTGTCCGGAGCTTCTCTGCCTGCCGGCTCTGGTCTCATAAGTTTCCATACCCTGCTGCCAACTTATAATAACAGAGGCGGCAGGCAGCAGGGCAGGAGCGTCATAGCCCTCTCCATCCGTGGGCGCGTGCTTTGCGCACTGAAACAAAAGCTTGGAAGACCTCATTGCAGGCCTTTCAGCCTTGACAGTGGTTATGCCCAGACCACCAGTTGCCTGGAATTAAAACTCTTGGATCCAGTTCTCCACCATTAATGTTATCAGCTTCATCAAGTACTTCCTCTTTGAGTGGTGTCTGCAGAGAAAGAAATAAATCATGCTCCTCTAAGTCCTGTTCCTGCCCGGATCCTGAGTCAGAAGTAAAATCTGAGTTGATTATCCAGAGCACTGTCTCCTCCTTTATTGTTCCCAACGATCTGGGCAGGAACAGAGAGTGAAATCTCTCCAGGACATTACATCAGTTCCTCTTTTCCCCTTGGCATGAAAGTTCTTCCTCTCATAGTCCTCCCAAACTTCCTAAGGCTTGCCGTGAGTGCACACCCATACACTGAGCCTTGAAGCCCAGGACATCAAAGGAAGCCTGCAGGTAACCAGGCTACTGGCCAGTGCCTGTGTCCATTTCGCAGTTTGTAAGATGGGAAATGGATTCAGGAAGTAGGATTTTTCAACACATGGTCTTCATCATCCTTAAGTGTTTTTAAACCTTAGTAAGCTTTTAAGGAAAGGGAAACATTCTGTCAAGGGCATGTAGAAGAACATATATGAAACTTCAAAATGCAACTATCTAAAATTCTTGCTTACGATGGTCATTTCTGTGACAAATGAAAAGTGAACTATGGCCCTAGCCAGTTTGGCTCAGTGGTTAGAGTGTTGACCGATAAACTGAAGGGTCCTGGGTTCTGTTCTGGCCAAGAGCATGTACCTCAGTTGCAGGCTCGATCCCCAGCCCAGGTTGGGGCATGTGTGGGAGGCAACCAATCTGTGTGTCTCTCTCACATCCATGTTTCTCCCCCCCTCTCTCTTTCTCTCTCTCTTTCTCTCTTTCTCCCTTCCACTCTCTCTGAAAAGCAATAGAAAAAATATCCTCCGGTGAGGATTAAAAAAAAAAAAAGAAAGAAAAGCGAACCATGGACAAAAGATGAATTCATTTTTATGGATAGCAGAATTAAGATCCGTTTTAGCTGTGAAAGGATTGCCTCATCCCCAAAAGATTGCAGATCATTTCTATCATACTAATAATCTTATTCCTTAAAGTTAACTCCATGGGCCTAATCAGTACCCTCTAAGCATTTATTTGCATTTGGGTTCAAGTGAGGATGTTAGTACTTGTCATGCCAACCTGTGTCACTGCAAGATCAATTAAGCACTTAAAAAACTTTTTATGGTGGAAAATATCAAACTGATACAGAAGTAGAGAGAATTATATAATGAACCACCATGTACCTATCACCAGCTTTGATGATCAATTATGGCCATTCTTATTTCCATTATGCCCCACCTACTCTCTGATTCACCATCCAGATTATTATAAAGCAAATCCCAGGTAAATAATTTCATCTGTAAGTCTATCAGTACAGGTCTGAAAAGATAACCCTTTGTAAAATCATAATCCCAGAACTATCACATTACCTGAAAACTAGTAGTTCCTCAATATCACCAGATATCCTAGTAATGTTCACTTTTCCCCAACTATCTCATTAATGTTTTTATAGTTTGATCAGAATCTAAGCAAGGGTTTATATATTGCAAATAGTTGATGTGTCTCTTAAGTATCTATAGGTCTTCATCTCTATTTTTCTTGTACACACTCTTGTTCTCTCTCTCTCTCTCTCTCTCTCTCTCTCTCTCTCTGGGTGTTTAAAAAAGAAGTAAACCAAAAGTAGTGTAATTTTTCCCCTGTACATAGTTTGTCTTTTTTTTTCCTCTGGTTACTTTCAAGATTCTCTCTTTAGCTTTGGTTTACAGAAGTTTGACTATGGTGTGCCTGAGTGTAGTTTTCATTGTATTTATTTTTCTTGGGATTTGCTGAGCTTCTTGGACCTTTAGGTTTGTTGGTGTTACCAAATTTGGGGACAGTTGGCCATTATTTATTCAAATTTTTTTTGCCCCATTCTTTCTGTTCTCTCCTTCTTAGATTCCAATTACATGTCTATTAGACCATTTAATATTGTTTAACAGGTCACTGAGGATCTATTTCTTTTTTATTTTTATTAATCTGTCTTCAAGTTTACTAACCCTATCTTCTGTCATCTCCAACCTGCTATTAAGTCCATCCAATCCAGTCATTCACTTCAAATACTGTATTTCTTTCAATTTTAGAATTATCTCCTTTTTATTTTTTTTACAGTTTCCATTTCTCTTCTAATAGTCTCCATATGTTATCTCTCATTATGGCCATCATTTTTTTAAGTGCTTGAATTTATATCTACTTTAAAGTTCTTTTTTGCTCATTTCAGTATCTAGATTATCTCAGTCTGTTTTTGGTGCTTATCTTTCCTCTTGATTATGGATCAAGTTTTTCTATGTCTGCATGTCTAGAAACCTTTATTGGATACTGGATATTCAATAAAGATAGAGAAACACAATAGATAACACACTGGAGAAACTCTGTATTATGTTATATTCCTCTGAAGGGTGCTGATTTTTATTCTAGCAGGCAGTTAAATGACTAGCCAGTCACTTTGAATCTGTTTGAATCTGTTGAGTCTTGGTCTTACATTTAGTTAGGACAGTTTTGCCTTTAGCCCTCCAGTAAATCCCTTTGTCCTAGAGCACTATCCTTCCTCCTAAGATGTACCCATTCTGGGTTAATAAGCAACCTGAGGTGTTTACAGAGCTTTGTTGATAGGATTTAAACTCCGAACTCGTCTGATACAGTGGCCAGTAGCTGAGATTTCTGCTCATATCTTTTGATCATCCAGCTGTTGCTTTTCACAGAGCTCCTTAGAGCTCTGTTTCCCCTGCACATGTACTGTTCAGAGCACATGTTAAGGATTTGAGGAAACTTTATGTGCTATTTTAGTGATACTCCCTCTGAGGTTCTCCTCTTTATGAGACTTGCTCTCTCCATTTTTTGCCATTCTGGCAGCTTCATATTCTAATCCCCGACACCTAAAGCAACTTGCTATTCATTTTCTAGCTGCCCCACATTACATGGATTTAGGAGGATCCTCAGGGCAAAAACTGTATAAATTTGTGTCTCACTCTGTGCAGTCCCCTTCTTTCAAGAGTAAAATCCCCTTCAGTTTTCTCCATTGCCTTCAAATAACTTTTATAAATGTATTCTATCCAGATTCTCTTATTTCTATATGTAGAAAGTTTAGTCCATTACAAGTAACTCTGCCATTATTGAAACTGGAATCCCCTTCTTCTTTATTAGAAAAATGGTAACATACCATAAGTACTTTATCTTGCTTTGCTTATCTAACCAGAGAGCCTGGAGACTAGTGCTTTAGCAAAATATCGAGATATTCTTCATTCCATTTTATAGCTGCATAGTCCTCCATTGTTTAGAGATATACTATAATTTATTAAACCAGCCTCCTATTGTTAGCTATGCCAATGATTACACACTTTTAAATCCATAGCAGCAGTTTATACAGTAGTTACAAAGTTAACCCTTCGCCTTCAAACAGATGATCTTTTAATGATCATGAAAAGCATTTCTTTTGTTTACTGTCTCATATGATAGGTGAGATCCAGAAGAGTCCCCATTTTCCTGTTATTATTCCTGTGTAAAACTTTCTAAGAAACCTACCACCTCTGTCTGTCAGATTCCCAGACCCCCTTTATATGTTTTTCATACAGATACTGCTTTGCTTAGAACCATGGACAAGTCGTTGACCAGAACAGGGACCTGCAAGCATACCCATTCTTTTGGTGAGACAGCTCTGGGAACAGATATGGCCAGAAAAACTTCATTAAGATGAGGGTGGAGCCCTGTAGAAATTCCTGTTCTTAGCAGGGACTCTTAAAGCCAAATGTGTGCTGCTCCCTCCCTCAACCTAGCCTACAGAACTACTTCTGTTGCTGAGCTGTGTACATTTTTGACATTGTCCTTGCTCAGATGTCACTAGCTTGAAAGTTCAAGTGGGATGGGGTGGAGGTATGTTGGGGTGTCCATCCCTCCTTCTTCTTTTCTACCTCTACCTGTCTCTAAGCACTTGTAAATGGGGGATGTGCACTCAGAAACAAGGTGATCCTAAATGTTCTTTCAAGTAGTTAGGTTGTCGTTCTGTACAGTATGCCCATGTTCATGCTTAGAGCAGGTTTTGATGTGACTTTCCCCCCAGTTTGTACATAGCAAAGTAGTAGATCTTGCAATAGGTATATAGGTTCTAGAATCTGATTGGAGTCTGGTTCTACTCCCCTATGTAGACTGTGTGACTTTGGGTGGCTTGCTTAACTCCTTTATGCTTCCATTTTCTCACGTGCGCAGTAGGATTAATATAGTTCCTATCTCCTGCTTAGGAATGTTGCAAATTTTGAACACTGCAATGCAGTACCTAGGATATAGTAATTGCTTTTTTATTACTATTATTGTTGTTGCTGTTGTTAAATACCATACCTCCTGGATGTAGAGAATATGAAAATTTGCTAAGAAAATGTAAGTCAGTGAAAGTATCTGGAGAGCAACCCTTAAGGACCCTGAAAGCCACATTGCAGAGTCAAAGATAAAGAATGAAAGTTTGGCTTCCTTGTGTTTGTAGGCCACTAGTAGGTGATTAATGGAATGTTTGTAGACATTCTTAACTTGTCTAGCGGCAGGAAAAGAATTTTAAGTATGTGCACTTGAATTTTTTTTAAGTGGCGAGAACGACACCGTATCCTGGGAAGAAAGTTGCTCGACTGTTCACTGCTGTAGAACCACAGTGAGGTCCCTCTCCTGGCAGTTCACTAGAGGCTGTGATTGTCTCTCCTTCTGCTCCACAGATAACTGTGTCCAGAGGACCCCGAGGCCATCCGTGGAGAATGTGCACCACAACCCTCCCACCATTGAACTGTTGCACCGCTCTAGGTCACCCATCACGACCAACCACCGGCCGTCTCCTGACCCAGAGCCTCGGCCCCTCCGGTCCCCCCTGGACAACATGATCCGCCGCCTCTCCCCAGCCGAGAGGGCCCAGGGACCAAGGCTCCACCAGGAAAACAACCACCAGGAGTCCTACCCCCTGTCAGTGTCTCCCATAGAGAATAATCACTGCCCACCATCCTCCGAGCCCCACCAGAAGCCATCCAGCCCCCGGCAGGAGAGCACACGCGTGATCCAGCTGATGCCCAGCCCCATCATGCACCCTCTGATCTTGAACCCCCGGCACTCCGTGGATTTCAAACAGTCCAGGCTCTCCGAGGACGGGCTGCACAGGGAAGGGAAACCCATCAACCTCTCGCATCGGGAAGACCTGTACATGAACCACATCATGGTCTCCGTCTCCCCGCCCGAGGAGCACGCCATGCCCATTGGGAGGATAGCAGGTAAGCGAGTGCTTCCCTCTGCCACAGCTTCAGCCTCAGGGAGACCTTGCAAGGCCCCACTCTCTCCTCAGAACCTGGCAGCCAGCCTCACACCACCCCCAATTAGGTGCCCTCAAAGGCTCTGTGGAGGCAAGCAGGGGCTTCTGCCTGGATGAGGCGGAATCCCTAATGGGCTAGTTAATGAGCCGCTGGGACGGAGTAGTTAATGAGCCTCAGAAATGTTAAGAAACAAATGTCCGACGTCCAGCTTATAAGGAGAGTCACATCAGAATCTCATCTAAGCGAAAACATTTAAAATAAAAGGTTTATGAGCATGCTAATGGCCCTGTCCTGAAGTTTCCAGCCGCTAATTAATAACCAGACACAGCATAAAGAACCTTTGTCTCGGATTCAGGCCTCTAATTCCACCCTGTGGGCAGTAACTCAGTGCAGCCCTCACCCTGGGAGGGGGTAGGAGAGGAAAACGACGATGGTGTTGGAGGTAGGTGGTGTTGGGTCGTTTGGACAGAGGAAGCCACTCGTGACTTCTTTTATGATGACAAGTCCAAATTTGCTTCCCTAAGACAAGAAGCCAGTGGAAATCTACCCTTTGTATTTTTGCTAGTCTTCCTGTAATTTACGTGAAGTCATTCTCCAAAAGTCTAATCCTCCAACCTTTTCCTAGAGCATCGCTCCATTCCTGCGACATTTGTTGAGCACCGACTATGTGCAGATAAACGCATTAGGAAGCCAGGGACACAGAACTGATTTAACACAATTATTTCCTCAAGGAATTTAAAATGTACTGGGAGAGACAGATGGGAAAGCCACTAACGAAGATATAAGGCAGAATGAAATAGGTCCTATGTCCCATTCATTCAGTGCACAAGCATTTATTCGCTTATTTATTACTCACTCGCTGTGTGCTGGGATAATTAAGTACTATGGAAGCAAAGCAGAGAGCAGACGCGTTTTGACTGGAGGAATTGAGGAAGGCCTGGCAGGGAGGGAGGTAGGCTGATGGTTTGGGTTCAGTAGTGGGAAGAGTGCATGGAGGAAGGAGGGGTGAGGCCTGTTCAGGGAAAGGTGAGAAATTCCTCTTCCTCTGCGAGCTGAGGACCCAAGACAAAGCACCTGCCGGACCCCAGGGTGGTGCAAGTGCTCATGACACCGTGACAACTCAGGGTCCTACAGGCTACTTTGGCTATCTCTGCCTTGACTTACTGTCCCTTTCTCATTTAGATCATTTGTTTCCATATTTTTCTCTGGCCCCAAGTACAACTCCAATCTTGCCTCTATTTTGTTATAAATAATTTACATGAGAAATGTTGAATCAAGGAAATAAGATGGCAAAGAAATATGACTTAATGTGTTTTTAAAACTATGAAAAATGAAATGATCTGTGTCTGGGATTTGATTCAAAATGATCCCACAGGGTCAGGCCTGAGAAATGGATGGGGTCTGCATAAAATAAGGTTAGCCCTGAGCCAATGGCTGTGTGGCTGGGTGATGGATGCAGGGGGGTGGCATTACTGTTCTCTCTACCTGTACGTATCTGTAAGTATTATTTTAATAATAAAAAGAAAAAGGAAACTGAAAAGAAGAGCAGGAGAAAAGAAGCAGAGCTTGGACAAAACCCGTGAATGTCCCAGACAGTTGAAGAAAGAGGGTGGGTCAGTGCATTACCGTGAACGATATAAATGACCCACCTCTTGCTTCCCAGCAAGACCCCTCTTGTGCTATTTCTCACATGGTCTGCACAGCAGTACTGGACATTTTGCAGATACTCCCTGCTTGTTCCTAATTCTCAGAACAGCCCTTTGAGGTAGCATATTACTGCTGTATTCGTTTTATATGGGTCATTTGGACAGGGGAAACCACAGAGGAAGCTGAGCCCCAGAGAAGCCGTGGTCAGATAGGGGTTGGTGACTACAGGACAGCCCTTGACACCCGCCGGCTGCTGTCTGCAGTGCTGCCCTCCTGGGGCCTGCCTCCTCCTTGACGCTGTCTTCGCCACAGGCTTCCTAGGAATCTAAGATAAGCCTGCACATAGAGATAGTTAAGACTTTTAGACTTTCGGAGTTCTTTTTCTCTTGTTTAGTAGGTTTTTAAATTTCAAAATATAAGTCCCTTAAATAATTGTGCTATTTTTTTAAATCTTACTCCTGAACATCAGCATTGTTAGATGATGGATGTAGCCTCATCAGTGAGACCCTCCATGGAATATCGTACCAACCAAATGAACCTTGGTGCCTTTGGATGCCCTCTCTCCCTTAAGAACACACAGAAAAGGGAAATCTATACTTTTCTTGATGACTCCAGGAAATCAGAATATTCATGTTAAATAACCCTAGGGCCCAGATCCTTTGGAGGAATGCGTTGACTCCTGCAATATGATAGAATCCCCTAAAATTATTTATTATTAATGCTCTAATGGTATATTCAAAGGCTTGAACATCTCCAGATGTATGTATTAACTAATATAAGCAAGTCCACATTAGCTAATTTAACTAAAAGGCACTGTTTTTCTCAAGGGTGAAATGAGAGGGTTGGAAAGTCTACAATCTAACTCCAACTCCAAAATTTATGATCTAACATTTAGTCTAGATTCTGTAACCCTCCAAAGAGAACTCTTCACAATTCTAGGCTCCTTTGTTCATTTGGGAGAGCCCTGTCTCTCTACCCCAATCCTTTCGGTATCCTTTTGGATTAACTCTGGTTTTTGTAAAATTGATTCTGTTTATCAGAGGTCGGATTCATTGGGTGATTTCTGTGTACAGTGTAAAGTTCTGTCATTTACTACACAGCCATAATAATCTTTCAAATCTCTATAAAGCAGCTGTTAGATGAGAAAACTTAGTTCCTTCAGCTTTTTGAATGAGCACAGAGCAGAAATGAAGGGGCTGTTGAATGTCGCCCTGATGAATACCATAGCTGGAAGGCATGGATAGAAAGAGTACTCATGAATGTTGATCCAGTAGTAATGTTGAGAATTCTTATCCATTCAGATATCATTTGCTCAGGTACCCTAGGATTTATGCATTTGGACACCTGCATTTAAGGCACTCTACTGCATTCATGGGCGTGGGTGTTCAAGGCATAGATACGTTAGCTGTAAGTGCAGTGTGTGGTATCTTCAAAGGACTCCTATTAAGTACTACAGGAGGTTGGAGCTAGCATATCAAGGAAGGCTTCATGGAGGGGCTGGCCTTTAGCCTGGCTTCGAATATGGACTAGTGAAGATTAGGGGAAAAGTGGTTATTCCAGATGGAGAAAACATCAAACAAGATGAGCCCCCAAAGATATTTTTCTCCTTCAGGTAAAAATGTAAATCCAAGAATCCAGGTCCATTAAAAAACCATCATATATTATCAATTCTTTACTTTTTCACTGTTTAATATTGAGATGCATCATACAATTCAGAGAGTACGTGCAAAGCTATGATAGTTTACCTAGGTATTTATCTTACAACAAAACTAAAATATTCAATAAGGAAATGTAGGAGGTAGTTGACGATTCAAATACAAACCTCGAATTAGACCTATTTAAATATAACATGCAGCTTATTTTTAAAGGTGTCATTTATATTTCAAAGGATAAGCTGGACTGTTATTGACTTTAACAAGTTGGAATGGCTGGTGTTCCTGGGAGACTGTTAATACAGGCCAGAGTGAGACAAGATCCTGGGTTCTGTTTTTTATTGAATAGTTAATGGTGTGTGTAACAGTGTGCAGGTTGCTTCTTTTTGTGCTTATTTTCTATTTATTGTCCTTAGGAAGGGATTGCTCGGTGGGGCCGGGGAGGTGGTCAGCATCTGTCAGCCTGCTACCTTTTTTCTCAGCCCACAAAAGTTTTACTGGCCTGTGTCTCACCTACGTGTTTTGTAAGCAAAGATCACGTTGGCAGAGAGCTCCATAGTTGATGAGGTGTAGCTCTGGTGATGCCGTGAGTCAGGTTTTCAGTGTATATGGACATCGGCCATTCATTCTTAAAACTCGATGATTTCAAAGCCAGAAGGTGAAGAAACACACACACACATCAAGAGTCCAGCCTCGAGCTTCCATCCAGCATCCTCTCCAACACACTGTCTCCTTCCAACCTGGGACTCCAGAGCAGGGACTGGAAACTCTGGCCCACGGGCCAAATCAGCCACCGCCTGTTTTTGTAAATTGTGTTTTATTGGCACACGGTCACTCCCAGGCACTTAGTGCTGTCTGAGGCTGCTTTTGTGCTGCAAGGCAGAGTTGAGTAGCTGCAGCAGAGATGGTGTGGCCAGCAAAGCCCAAACTACTTACTGATCCCCAGCAACATTTCCCAGCAAACGTTTGCTGCCTGCTGTGCTACAGCCTCCCATACTTGTCTGATCAGTGGGCTTGGAATCACAGGCCTAAGGTAGCATGTGCAACTAGAAAACACTGTTCCTCCTCTAAAGCAGAAGGAATTACTTATGCTCTAGAGGATGAGGCATGCCTAAGACTTGCGCAAGGAGCAGTAACGCGTGATTTAAGAAAGGAGACAAGTCCTAGACTTCAGGATGTTCAGAGACCAGTCCAGAATGGTTACAGTAACATCGTCAACATAAATAAAATACAGCTAAGTAAAAGAAATTATTTCTTTGCATACTTGAATTGTATAGTTAAATCATTCATTCATTCATTCATTCAAAAATTATCATGAATCTCTATGTCCCAAGCATTTTTCTAGGTGAGGGGTAGAGCATCTCTAAACACCAAATTTTACATCTTTCCCAGCCTAGGCAATATCCCTCGTACATTATGCCATCATATAAACTAAGTTCCTGCTTTGTTTTTAACTACAGACAGCTAAGTCGTAAGAGAAAATTTTTAAGTCATTTTTAAGTCAATTTAATGGAATTAAAGAACTTTCTCTTAAAGTTCTTCAGTTCCATTAAAACCCTAGTGACCGGACTTCCTGTCAGCATGTCCTTCCTTGGCCTTAATCCAAAAATCTGCTAAGGAAGCGAGATTCATTGGCAAACTGCTCTAGAGTCCATCCATAGC